TGGATATCGTGTCCTTTGACGGCTAGCTGATGCTCATGGATACGAAGATGAAGGGGACGTCCACTTTGGCCAATGTTGTGTTTTTCTCAGTTGTTACAATTTATATTTTGTAGATGATGTTGGTTTTATCTTCGTTCGCTGTTGAGTCTTTTGGTTGACATAGAGCCAGTTAGGTGAAGTTACTTTGTTGGTTTGTGTACGACGTCAATTCCTAAATGTTTGAAGAGTCTTGTAGTGATTTCCGAGACATCCTTTATATGTAGTAAGGCGATTTTCTTTGTGGTTTCCTTGGTGGCTTTTGGTTTGATAGGTTGGCTTGGGGGTATATGTTTTTGATGAAATTCCGTGGATATCCATTCTTTTGGAAGACTTCCATGATATATCTTTCTTCAATTTTCTTTAAGGTGGGAATGCTGCAATGAGTCCTTGCTCTCTTGAATAGTGTTTGTATGCAATTCCTTTTGTGTGTTATTGGATTGTTGCTGTTGTAATTCAGGATTTGGTCTGTGTGAGTTGATTTCCTATAAACTTGACTTTTTAATTCCCCAGTGGTTGTTCGCTTGACTAAAACGTCCAAAAATGGGATTTTGTTTTCGGATTCCTCTTCTCTTGTGAATTTGATGTCGTTGAAGACGTTTTTTTATTAAGTTGTGAGTTTTATCCAACTAGTTTCCTTTGATTATTACAAATGTGTCGTCTACATAACGTATCCGAATCTTGGGTTTGATCTTTGGTAGAATTATGTTTTCGAGCCTTGGCATCAATCACTGCTTCTGCAATCAAACCTGATATTGGCGATCCTATGAGTGTTCCTTTGACTTGTTCATATATTTGGCCACCTGAGCTACAAATATTTTACATCAATTCTATGGTAGTCTAATCTCTACCTCAGCTTCATCGACTTTGAAAAAGCCTTCGATAGTGGTGACTCAGAATTAATTTGGCAATTACTTCAACACTATGACATGTCCCACATCCTTATCAACTCCCATTCAACAGCTATGCGACAATGTCTCGTATCAGTAGGCTACTGCCTACTATCACCCATGATATTCCTAATTGTCGTGGACTAGATTACGCGAGAGATTTACATCTAGTGTCACGAAAACTAGAAGACTTACTGGCAAAAATCGAAAAGTTAGGAGGAGAGGCAGCCGGAGAAGTCAGAACTTCAAGTAAACATAGAGAAGATTGAGGCGATGAAAACAACCAGCCAACTAACAACAACAAACACAAATCACTACCGACGGAATACACATGAAAGAAATTGCTTCGTTCAATTAGCTAGGAAGCATCCTTTCAACTACAAGTGGAACCAATAAACATTGAATTGAAATTGAAAACTAATCTAAAATCTTTTTTCTTGATGTTGAACTAACAAGAAGAGTTGATGGAACTTCAAGAAGGTCCATCCATAGGGAAACCGATATGGAACGACTAACTGACAAGCTTCTACAGTTGGGTACCAATCACTCGAAAAAGAGACCTTGTAAGATCAATTCTATTCCCATCCTTGAATCAAGTCAACCTGTCCCGGATCAGCCTAGCGTTGTTGCAACCCAATTATCCATGCCTAACGTGTCTATCCCTGCTTGTTTAATGAACTGTGTGTATGTGTTTTTACCTCGATCTGTTTAGTCAGACAGTTGAACTCATGGCCCAATCAGAGTATTTTGTGAACTGTTATTTTTGCTGACCCATGTCTAACTTTGTACTATTCTGTCGAGTTTATCTTATTTATTGATTTTCATCTGTATTTTCCTACCTGGTTAAGTAGCCAATTAAATTCTATCTTTGTGCCTATGCTCGGTCTATCTCTCTTAAACGCTCTCTGTTTTATGCCATGCCTTGCTTGGGTTCATTCTTCTACTGACTGCTTACCTGAACGGTCGTGTGTGGTTCCGGCTAGTTCGCAATTTTGGCTTTAACGTTATTCCGCTCTGATAGCGGTACCTTGCTTTCTGTTAAGCGTTGTGCTTTGTACTCTTGAAACCGTTAAGGTTTGTTGTATATATAATTATTGATTTGTTTATTAATAGTACCGTAGAAACAGTGACCGGCTTCTTGTTTGTTCTGGACCGGGATAGCCTTTATCTACGCGTGACTTAATTTCAAGCGATATTGCGCTTACAGACCTAATTAGATCTCTTGTCACTCGCGTCCAAGGCATCTGCATCTCTGATACCCTGGAAGAAGAACTACACTTCCTGAAAGAAATTTTCATTCAAAACTGTTATCCATTAGGATTTGTAGACAAAAACATCAAACAGAAAATCCAAAAGCAAAAGACACCATCCGTGCCAAAAAAGATACTTTATATGAACCTCGACTTCAAAGGTGACCTACTCAGTGATGTCTTCCGGAAGAGAATTTCCACTTCTTTAAGAAGAACCAATAAAGATGTGAAAACCAGAATCAGAAAGACAAGACAGACAATTATCACTCTGAGATCAGTTTGAAAATCTTTTGAACTCAGTACAAGGAAAACGTACCGGAGTTTCAACACCAACGTTAAGTCAATCAGTTCTTGTATATCCATCAGAAGCTTGACCTTTCACGGAAAGTGTTTCCAAGAAGTTAGTACAGACTTCTGTCAACAGTTGCCTTCGCTGACTCCATAGTGAAGACCAAACGACCGGGAAGAAAGAATCCGCGACAAGGAACTCTACGAGTGAACCAAGCAAGAGCCGATCGCGCAACAAATATGTAGGAGAAAATGCAGATGGATTGGTCAGACGTTGAAGACGCCGTCGAATGACACTGTGTTGATCTTGCCACTTGATGGGGAGGGGGGTGTTGTAACCAGGTCAGATTCTGTTTTAGTCCATCATTCCTATTCACTTCAGACAATCTGGATTCCACTTGATATGAAGTGCTTCTGATATAAGACGTTCTTTGTGGTTTCTGAAGTTTTTCTGGATTATTTCAATATTATCAAAATCAATTTTGTGGCCTGATTCTATAGCATGTATACAGGCTATGGATGATGATTTCTGAAGTTTTTCTAGTTCAACTGGATATTTTTGTGGTCGAAGAGAAGCTCTACGGTGTTCATTTCTTCTGATTTTGATTTCTCGAGATGTTTGTCCGATATAGATCGCATCGCATTCCGAGCATTTTATTTTATAGACACAATTAGATAGAGAATCTTTAGGGATTTGGTCTTTTATATGGACAAGGTTGTTTTGAAGTGTGTCCGATGTTTTGAAGAAAACTCTAATGTCCAGCTGATTGAGTACTCTTCTCATATCGTCTGACGTCTCTGCTCTATATGGAGTGACGACTGTTGAAGTCCATGTTTTCGGAATGCATTTTCGGCCATACTTAATGTGTGTTGATTTTGTTGATGAAGTTCCTTGGGTAGTTGTTTTGCTTGAGATTCTCAGTAATGTTTGAAATTTCTTCTTCTTTTTCTTGCTCATCTGTTATCAAGGAGTGTGCTCGTCTAAGAAGACTCGAAACAACTGAAATCTTTGCGCTGATGGGGTGTGATGATTTGAAGTCTAAATATTTGTTGGAGCGGGTTTTCTTCCTGACCTGACCTATGTACCTAGCTCCGCACGAGCAAGTGAACTGGTATATGCACATTGAATTGGTCATATGCGAAAGTTTGTCCTTCGTGTTGTTTCGAAGTATTGGGCGGCTAGAGAATGTCCCTCTTAGTGTTGCTGCAGGGAAGGTCTTCTTTAGAGAGCTGGATATTCTCCTCTTCAGGATATCAGCTGCCGAATCTCCCTTGAAATTCAGATTTAGATACAGTGTTTTCTTTGGCGCTGAATCGCATTCTTCTCTTTTAGGTTTAGGTTTCATGTTCTTTTCGACAAAACGTGTTGGGTAGCCATTTTGAGCCAGGATATTTTTGAGGAATAGGAGCTCCTCTTCCATGCAATCGTTGCTGCAGATTTTTCTAACGCGATGGGTTAGTGCGCTGATGAGGGCTCGTTTTCGGCTCAGAGGTATCCAACTATAGAAATGCGTTAGTTGGCCATTCCATGTCGGTTTTCTGTGGATGGACCTCTTCAGGGTTCCATCATCTCTTCTCGTCAATTCCACGTCCAGAAATGGAATCTTTGAATCGCTTTCTAACTCCATTGTGACATCTACAGACAGAAAGATGGAATTGCAATGGGATCTCCTCTTGGCCCGCTTTTAGCAGACTGCTTTATGGCCAGTTTGGAGAGTCTGTCTGTCTGTTTTCGACATAGAACTTTGCACAAATGTGCGGAAGTTCAAGTCGCCACACTCCGTGTAGCACGCGAAGCAAGAGAAGAAAGTACAAGAAAAGCATAATAGAAACAGTGAGCAGAGGTGTGAGACAAAGGAGTAATAAAGAAATACAAAACAGTTTCATTGGAGATCATAAGTCACAGGGAGTGGATGCATCTGCGCCACTGAGAACGATTTTGAGCCATGTCACAAATTGTTTCCAACCATAGATTTTTACCGTCCCGAGGACCCCAGCCTAGAAGTCTACACCTTCCTATGTGGCTTAGACCAACTGTTGTGGATTTCATTGACTGATGCCAAGTTTTTGTTTGACCGCCGCTAGCTTTTTTCCAGTCTGACCCTATATCCGCTAACATTGCTCGTCGAGGGAGGCGATGGCTTGGCATACGTAACACATGTCCTAACCATCTCAGTCTTTGTAGCTTGTAGTTTGGAGAGTGGATTTTTAAAATCAACAATAAACAAATTAATACTATACAAAAGGTACGTTGACGATACCTTTATAGTCTGCTACGAGAACTCGGACTTCAACTGCATCTTACAAGAATTCAATAATTCCCATCCTTCGATTAAATTCACAATGGAGTTAGAAAGCGATTCAAAGATTCCATTTCTGGACGTGGAATTGACAAGAAGAGATGATGGAACCCTGAAGAGGTCCATCCACAGAAAACCGACATGGAATGGCCAACTAACGCATTTCTATAGTTGGATACCTCTGAGCCGAAAACGAGCCCTCATCAGCGCACTAACCCATCGCGTTAGAAAAATCTGCAGCAACGATTGCATGGAAGAGGAGCTCCTATTCCTCAAAAATATCCTGGCTCAAAATGGCTACCCGACACGTTTTGTCGAAAAGAACATGAAACCTAAACCTAAAAGAGAAGAATGCGATTCAGCGCCAAAGAAAACGCTGTATCTAAATCTGAATTTCAAGGGAGATTTGGCAGCTGATATCCTGAAGAGGAGAATATCCAGCTCTCTAAAGAAGACCTTCCCTGCAGCAACACTAAGAGTGACATTCTCTAGCCGCCCAATACTTCGAAACAACACGAAGGACAAACTTTCGCATATGACCAATTCAATGTGCATATACCAGTTCACTTGCTCGTGCGGAGCTAGGTACATAGGTCGTTGTATGCGCGTCCTCTCAAAACGTGTTAGAGAACACTACCCAGCGTGGCTGCAAAGAGGAGGCACCGGTTCAATCAGAAGTGCCATTATTGAACATCTGGTCAACACCTCCCACAAAATCTCAACCGATTCTTTCAAAGTGATTTACAAAGTCAACAGAAACCTACCAAAAGCAATATGTTTCCGACTTCTTTGTACTGCAGAAGCCCTCGCAATATGCATCGAGAAGCCGGAGCTGTGTGTTCAAAAGAAGTTAGTCCAACCTCTACAACTACCATGGACCTAGCTTGGTATGTTCCCTTTGTTTCCGTCTTTTTTTTCTCTTCCTCGTCTGTTTTCGTTCTTGTTTTTTCCTTTAGAGCATTTTTCGTTCGCTGTGTGTCTGATTCTTAGTCCCTCAATCTTCGTTTAATCCACCTAATTTTTTTTCAGCTATAAAAACAGTTATTTTAAGTTTGTTTCCATGCTTTCCCTGTTCACATTTATAATTCGTTTGAAATAACTATTTTACAATTATATCTTAATATTGTGCAATTTTTGTGTTTCTAAGGCTTTTGTAATCTATATTCACACGTCCTAACTTTCATTTCAGGCTCAAATTATTTTTTCAGTTAAAAAAACTAGTTATTTTAATTTTGTTTCCATACTCCTCCTGATCACACTTGTAATCCGTTTAGAATAACCATTCTACAATTATATTCTAATCCTGTGTAATTTTTGTTTCTATGCCTCTTGTAATCTATATTCATACCTCCTAACTAACATGTCAAGTTGAAAATTTTGATTTCAATTTGTTTCCATGCTCATTTTGTTCACACCTGTAGTTCGTCCTATCCCTGCGTTTCTAAACCTCTTGTAATTCATATCAAGTCGAAAATAATTATCACCTTCGATTCGCCTTTAAAATTATTTCTCCAGTTATCAAATATTAATTTTTTGCATACGTTGTAACTATTTTCTAATCCTATGAAATCTTGTCTCTAAGCCTCTTGTAATCTATATTCGTACCTTCAAACTATCATATCAAGTTGAAAATTATTATCACCTTCGTTACTATGTGAAATTAAACAAATAATAATTCTATCCATGTTAAAATAATCTATATAAATGCGATTGTACAGCTTTTGAGAATGAAATCGCCGAAAAGATATCTTTGCTGAACTTCGTGTTCTCTTCTTTCTAATTTTGTAAATTCCGGTTTAATTTTTAATTTTTTATTATAGCTTGATTCCACACCGTATTTTTGATACAAGTATGGAATTTTCAGCGTGGATATCGGTAGCCCAATATTCGCAGGCCAACCATAGATGTCAGGTGTTCGTCGGCGTGGGCTCGAAGGTCGGACCATGTGCATGGTCGGCGAGAGTCCTAACCACTGTGCCACCGATGCACTTTGGGAAAGCTATTAGCAGCATTAAGTAGCGAAACGTCAGTAAAAACAATATCGTTTTGTTTTTCATTCATTGAAAAATATAAAAAAAGTTTTTATTATGAATACCAGAGAATATGTTGATGATTCTACGATGAACAACAAAACGTTTTGGTATGCTGGAGAAGTTTCGTTGTTCAGATGGATAATTTTGATGTGGTTTTGTTCTCTGAGCTGGATAGTTAATTTGCAAAGCTTTCATCCCGCTACTCGGCAACATCTTCCGCGCATACCTCATTTTCACCTGAGCTCCCAAGATCTCTATACGAGTTTATTAGTCATTTCCTCAAATGACCTTCAACTTGATTGGTTGTTTTTGTGTGTCTTTACACCATCCAGGCTACTTGTGTTGGTATTGATTGTTTCATTGACGTGTAGATTGATTTTTGTGCATAAGATATTCCTCTTATTAATTGGTAAATCTTGTCTAAGTGATTGTGTCTATTAACTGACGATTCACTTGCATACCAAGCTTCCAAATATTCTCTGGCATTCTTGGTGTTTCCTCTGTCTTATGTTTGACCGTTGTTCCAGTCGAATTGATGTCCATGGTTGTCCTTATGGTCAGTGATTGGAGAGAGAGTGTGTGTCAGTATTATGTCTTTCTACGGCACATTCAAGTCACCCCCATGAGAGATGACTAATAAACTCGTGGAGAAATCTAAAAGCTCACTTCAACAGATTGAAGTATGCACTGAAGATGCTGCCTAGTATGGGACGATGAAAGCTTCGCAAATTAACTATCCACCTCAGAGAACACAACCACATCAAAAACGTTCAGTACTTTGTATTGGTGAAGATTAAGAAATGCAGAAGTTGAAAGCGAGACTGTGTGCCCTAACCATTTAATTGAATCTGGAGGCACTGGTAAATCGCGTATCCACTAGTAATCCCTCTTATGACAGAAGACAGGTCGACAGGCTAGCAACCCCGTTCTGTAAAAAATATCGCCGCTACTGAAATTTCAAAGAAGTACTATGTTCCAATCAGAACAGAAAGGAATACAGAAAGAGATTTCCAGTGTTGGTTTACATTGAATGAGCGAAATACTGTTGTTTATTCGAAATAACCTCCATATTTGACACTAAACATCAATGGCGGCCGTAAACTAATTTTTTATTCTGGTTGGCTGAAAACTAGAAAATAACCATTAGAAGCTTTGCGTTTGATAACCCTGTTTTTCTACTTCATTGCCGGTGAAGAAATAACTAGTCCTCATATTTCCAGTTCGTTTTCTGACATTCTTGTGTCGATTACCGCATACAGTATTCTGCAGCACTGATTAGTCTTCTAGATCCAGTGCTCAGCTCAAGATTCTTCTCAATCTGAACATTTGACAGTGATATACCATTCACTTTTCATACATCATTTACTATGAAAAATTATAAATCGCTCTGAAGACGAACTGGTCCCCTGAATACTCTCCCTTTAGTGCCTAAACTCTTGAAAAGAATGGAAACTCACAAATTTATACATAAAATAGCGTCGTCATTGTCTGTAAAGTGGCAGAAATAATCTATTCTTAAAATGTGGTGTAATAGAAGCTGATTTTGCTAAGTGATTACCACCATTTTGAACACTGAACATTGAATAGAAGTGAAACATTGTGCATAGTCACAGTTTAAATAGAATAACACAACAAGACAGCTAATGATACTAGAGTAATAAATGATAGTAATAATAATAATAATAATAATAAAGACTGGTTTATTTTTCTTGACTGCAGCTAACATTGAAACCCAAGACATGTCTTCATTTCTATTTTTCGACTGAGCAGTTGAATACATCTGTATTCACAGTGGGAGAAAGTACCCACTCTGAAGCCCTAACCCACTACCCATCGCGAAAAACACCAAATTGCAATCTACCAGGCCACTAGCCACGAAAGCCATCGTTTCTGTAGCAGGTATCATTGGGTTAAAGGTGTAGCCAGCTGAAAGGTCTCAAAATATGTATAAAAGTGCCTTCTACATTCCATTGTCGGTCATTATCAGCCTAAACAACACCGTTTAAGCCATGGGGCGCCGTCGAATTGTACATATATAATAGTCTTCATGCAAAAACAGACTGAGAATTTCAGTCCAATATAATCAGTCAGTGGGAAATTCAAAATAGACATTTCAGTATTTAGGATTAGTTTAGATGTTCAGATTTTCGGAGGTGATAAAATGTGATTACATGTACGCCACCAAGTGGTTGCAGATCACAGACTTTTGTAGTAGCAAAATATTGAACATCTGGGCTGTTAGTGGCAACTGTAGTTATCATCACGTACCTGACCATGCAGAATTGCAACTGACTCAAATTTTCTTTTGGGCATTCAGCTCCTATCTCTGATTTTCCGCTAAATCTGTCGAAGATGTCTTATTACAATTATTGTTCCGAAATTTGAATAAAGCAAGAACAACAGCAGTGGTTTGTTCAGAATAACATGGTACCATCATTTTTTATTTTTTAAAATTTTTTTAATTTTTGATTACAGCTTGATTCCACACCGTATTTTTGGTACAGGTATGGAATTTTCAGCATGGATATCGGTAGCCCAATATTCGCAGGCCAACCATAGATATCAGGTGTTCGTCGCCGTGGGCTCGAAGGTCGGACCATATGCATGGTCGGCGAAGAGTCCTAACCAATGTGCCACCGACGCACATTAGTTAACTTCTCATCAGCTGCCTGCTTACAGCCTAAATAAATTATGAGGTTTACGTACAGAAACGTTTTAACATACTTGCAGATTTTAAATGTTGTCAGTTGACAGAAAGTTCCACAATTAGTAAACAGTGCTCAGAAAATTGCGCTTATATAGTTTTTACACAGGCAGTTCAATTTAAAACAAAATAAATTAATTGTATGCATATAATGGTAAAGGAGTTACGTATTAAAGATGAGATGTGCGTTAGATGTATAGTGACTAATAAGTTAGGTAACAATGTACTGAGTTGAACTGATGTCAAAGAAACAAGAGACAAGCAATATTATAGATTATAAAAGAAGGGTGAGGTTAAAGACAAAGATTACGTGATCAGATGAGAGAATAAAGACATCCAGTTACCAGGATATGCAAGGAGAGACTAATAACTGCTTCTTTCTGAACCCATAAATCTGGTTTGAAGCGTTTGATGGAAATTGCTTCGGCAAACTTGAGGAGAATGGAGCTCCTTTGTCAATAGAGCTACAAATCTCCTCAATCATATCTACACTGAGAATTTCAGTGGGTATTTCAAAGTAGAAATTTTAGTAATTAAGATTAGTTTAGGTATTCAGATTTTCGGAGGTAATAAAATGTGATTACATCTACACCAGTGTGAATCACAGTGCAATATATCAGAAAGAGTATGAAAACATTGAAATGAATCATCCAAAGGACCTCCAAGCGGTTGCACGTCACAGAAATTTGTAGTAGGGAAATATTGAAAATATGGGCTGTTAGTGGCAGTTAGTTATAGTTATCACGTACCAGAGTATCCAGAAATGCAACAAAACTGAACATGAAAACCTTTCATGACTCAAGTTGCTTCAGGCAATTAGATGCCATCTCCGATTTTCCACTGAATTTGTCGAAGAATTATTGTTCCGAAAAGTGATCGTATATCCATCAAGCGAATATAATGCCTTTTTTGAACTTGTGGT